GGATTGGTTATTAGATGAAACACGATTCACATTAAGTTTCAGTATATTTGATTCAGTCTTTATTTTTGATTTATGTTTTGATGTATTTTTTCCAAAGTTTCTTCTTCTTGACTAAGAGGTCAATTACTGTGAAGGCAAGGTTTTCATTGGTCCAAAGAAAATTTCACATAGGCTGACAAATTCCTTTCCCTCTTTTTCCTCAGCTCACCTGAATTTGATGGGAGTGGATAGAGTTATTATTTCACACTTACTACAATATCACAAATTATCACATTTACATAAACTTGTTAGATGAATTCCCTCTGCTCCATTTGACATTAATATTTCTTGTGAGTGTTAAATTTTTCAAGCTTTCTTTCCTTATAATGTGTCAAAGAAAACCCTGTACCTTTTCTATAAATACTAGTAGTGGGTGCTTATAGGGCATAGTACTGAAAAGTGTGAGAAAAGAAGATTTTAAATATGTAAAAAAAGAGATGACACAAACACTTTATTCAAATTAAATATAAACTAAATTTTTCTTTCAACCTTTGATTGGATGCCCACCTGACATGGAGACCCAGGGCGGTCACTCCTACTGCACCCCCCCACTTCTGCATGCTACTGATTGACGGCAAGATCTCATCTTTTTACGGTTGAAATGGCTAGATGCAACTATAAGTTCTATGCTAACAGTTTCTTTTCTCATACTTCTCACTTTTGGAACTTATTTTTGGTTTCTTGCTTCCAAGTCAACTTTGATCTTCAAAAGTTTAAATGCAATGTCAATCATCATCTTCTTAATTCCTGTTCTTATATTGTTCTTACTCTTTAATAATACCTTTCTTTTTTCTTAGATTCTTTTACACTCAGTAACCCCCTGAGTCTTAGTGGCTTTGTTGCCTTGCTTGGAGTGAAATAATTAACAAAAAAATTGATCTTTCTGATTTTAAGTATAAGTGTTCTTTTAGTTCCCATTTCCTTCAGAACTTCTTCATTGCTTACATGTCCTGTCAATGGTATTCTTAGCATCCATCTCTAGAACCATATCACTATCAATTTCCAACATATGCTGTTATACAGGAGGCTAGATATGACCTAGCAATTCAACAGATTTTCTTTATGTTTTATCAAATTTTCCAATATCTCAATACTTTGCTTAGTTTCAGTAAGACCTTTTCACTATTCTGATATGCCTATCCAGATAGTTCAATGTTAAAAGCCAATATTAAAAAGCCTTTTGAATGTATGAGGAGAAGATATCAAAAACTTATTTTTGTCAACCCCACCCCCACCCCGGGCAACAACAGATAACCTTGCTTATTTACACAAATCAATGCAACAAAACTGGCGAGTAACCAATTCTAAAAATCCATTTTAAAAGAATGCATTTTCGGTCTGGAATTGATTTTTCATCAAAGAAAACTTGCCTCTTCCGTGCAAAATTTGATGGAAACTTGAGGCAGACAATTAGTCGTGCATATGATTCAACAAAGAATATGTCTTGGTAGAAGATTTTCTTGTTTCCACCCCCACTCTGTACTGTTTTCTCTGACTTTCAAAAGACATTTGAATGGTTCTAATCCTCCAATAACAACTTTTTTTATCTTCTGCTTTAGTTTTTCCCAAGAAGCCACTTCAGAATTCCAAGTTTTGTTTCAAACCAAAGTAAAAGTGAAATATACCTTCTTTAAAATAAAATGCCACCCCCACAAAAAACATATAATAGAGTTCAAAAGCATCTCTGAGTCCTTGTGGGAGAAGGATTATTTTCCACACTCTAACCTCTCTCTCACAGGCATGATATGGCAAGTCTATCACTGCTCTATTGGTACTACCATGGAAAGTGCTTGGATGAATTGCATCTCTGGGTTTTATCAGTTCATATCTTCATGGCTAGGACCTGCCATGCTACTTACTTAGTAGCAAACCACTCACATTCCCTCCATATTCCATTGGTGAGAAGTAAGTTCCACTCAAACAGCTTCTTCCCAAAAACCACTGCCCTATAGAACAGACTCCCAAGAGGATATTTCCCCAATCACTACAAACTTAACATGTTCAACTCTAGAGTAAACAGTTATCTTCCCCTCCTATCCATATAAACTACTCCTTAACATAACCCTCTAATTTGAGCAGCCCCCAGATCTTGTACAGGGTGAACCTTAAAAAAAAAGAAAAGAAATTAGAATGAAACAGTGATGGCACATAGCTTAAATCCATCATAAAAATTCAGGTTGTAGATTTAGTAAATACTAAATATTTCAGCTACCTCAGTCTATTGATGAGTTACAATAAATTTAGTATAGGCGGTAAGGAAATTGAACATAGAATTGGCTTCACTAGAGACAGTTTTCCCCAGTACCATAAACTGCTACAAAACTAAAACATTAACATGAAAACACAAGTTATTGTTCTTAAATAGCCTTGTCAGATCAAGACTATTTTTATGGATGTCATGACTGGTGCCAAACCCATTCAGAAATATCTAAACTGTCAGCGGGATACAACCACTTTCTGCTATCAATGGTGAAAAATAGCTTTGAGCAAGTGAAGTGGATCTTAGCAGAGACCATCTTTCTTCCACACTTGTGAACTGGTGCTACAGAATATTACAAACACAAAACTTTATGAAATAATAGGACTGCAACAACTAAAATGGATAACTTAAAGACAAAATAATGACATAATCATGATTGTGATAATCTCCACAACTTCAAGCAAAAGATTAGGAAGGAAACCCCCATCAATATGGAAAAGAGTGATAGCAGGGGATTGAGAAACCTGCTGTCCTGAAAAATTGTTTTAATAGAAAGATTTTATAAATTTCAACCTAGAGTAGCAGTGGCTGCTCAATCAATGAATATTGAATGTTTCCTTATAAAGAAACAGTTAATATTACCATTACCATTAGAGATAAGGAGAACAGACACTACAGTTTGACCCCAGATCAATGGCTTGGGAGTCAGAAAAGCATAACTTGAGTAGCACTGGCAGCTCAGTCAATGAATGCTGAATGTTTCTTTATAAAGAAATAGCTAATATTACCATTAGAGATGCAGAGAATAGTCCCTACAGTTTGATCCCATATTGATGGCTAGGGAGTCAAGAAAAGCATAACTTGAGTAACATTGGCTGCTCAATTACTAAATGCCGAATTTTTCCTTATAAAAAAGAGTTAATATTATGATTACCATTAGAGAGAGGAGAACTGACACTACAGCTTGATCACAGAGCAATGTCTAAGGAGTGAAGATAACCATTACTCATCTAGCACTGGCTGCTCAGTCAATGAATGCTAAATGTTTCCTTATAAAAAATCAGCTAATATTACTATTTCCATTAGAGATGAGGAGAACAGACACTAAAGTTTGATATCAGACTGATGGCTAGGTAGTGAAGAAAAGTGTAACTCAAGTAGCACTGGCTACTCAGTCAATGAATGCCGACTCTTGAACAGTTGATATGACCATTATCTTTAGAAATGGCTTGGAAAAAGAAATGCATAACTTGAATGCTCAGTCAATGAATACCAAATGTTTCCTTATAATTGAACTGCTGATATTACTATTACAATTAGAGATGAAGGGAACATATACTACACTTTGATTCCAATCCAATGGCCAGGAGAAAAGAAAAGCATAACTTGAATGCTCGGTCAGTGAATGCCAAATGTTCCCTTATAAGGGAACTGCTGATATTACCACTACAATTATAGATGAGGGCAACAGATACTGCACTTTGATCTCAGCCTGATATCCAGGGAGTGAAGAAAATGCAACTCAATTAACATTGGCTGCTCAGTCAATGAATACCAGATATTTCCTTATAAGGAAATGGCTAACATTACCATTACCATCATGCATTTCATTTAAAATAAAATGGAAATATTTCTAAAATGTGCAGAATTAAATTCTTCACTGTTGTGATTGATAGCATTAATATTTTTTAAATAATTATTATTTGAGACAAATATGAATTTTGGACAGTTTCTTCATAAATTTATTCTGCACAATTGTCTACTCCCTATGTCAACTGCAAAAATGTAATTAAATTCTGAATAAATAGATCTTATCATTGAAATTTAATAAAACAGCTGTAGATATTATATGTGTGTGTGTGTGTAGCTGAGTACAATCATGAAACCTGGGTTTGAATATTCCCATGGCTGATTTGTCAAGGAGGTGACCTCCGGATATTTATTGGCCTGGGGAAACAATCTGAGTGTATGACATCATTGAGAAGTGGCTAAAAAAGAAAATATTACAAGTTGACCAAAGTCTTGCAAGAGAAATTGAGTAAATGAAACTGTTTAGAAGCCATCAGTGTCCTAGCATGAAGTCACAAGTCAGCAAAAACAGCATTTGAACATGCTAGCCTTGTTTAAAGCTGTTTATCATGACAGATTATGCTTTCTCCCACTGAAACTGTAACTAAGTTCTGTTCAGCAGATGAATAAACCACAATTAAGTTCTGTGGGTATCGAAAAAACTCAAATAATTATGCGTAAGCAGGTTTCTGCAACAGGAATTAGCTAGACACTTTAGCACACTCAGAAATGAGCAACCAGCCATTTACTTTACTTTTATATGCAAAAGATTTACATGCATATATATTTATGTGTGTGTGTGTGTGTATGTATATATATATATATATATATATATATATATATATATATATATATATATATATATATATATATATGTGTGTGTGTGTTTGTGCATTTTATTGATTGATTTGTTTTCTATGGCTTATCAACCCTTTGCTGGTTATTTAAAGGCAGGATATGTTTTTTAGATGGTAAGAATTTGGTGGGGGGTTGGGGAGATAATAATGGTTTAGTGATACAAGTCTTACTAATTAACCCATAGCTGGAGGGAAGTGGTGGATTCTTACCTTTCCCAACCTTATTTGCACATACGAGAATATAACAAACCCAATGGGAATTGGAATTCAGCCCTCTGATTAACAATTACAGAACCATTTCATCACCTGTCTGTTACATCACACACACATCCAAGCTTACCACACCTGGTATTCCAAAGCACTCACTCATCTAGGTACTGACCAGTCTCAATGTTGCTTAACTTTGGTGAGCATACAGGAACTGGTGTTTCAACATGATGTGACTGTATGCTTGTGTGTGTGTTTGTTTATATATCCATATATAATCTTTTAAAATCAAAACAAGTATAAATGATAACAAAGGCTATTCAGATGGAACAGGAGTCCCCCCCACAAAATAATGTACAGAAAAATAGGGAAAGAGGGTAAGAGAATTAGCCAAGATCAAAGTGAAATGAAGAATGCAAAGAATAAATATAAAATCAAAAACAAAACCAAGTCTAAAAATATCTAAAAAAAAAAAAAAATGGAAAACTAAGGGAGATAACCCACAAAAGAAATATCTCTAAGAGCTTGTTGTTTAGCACAATAGAGTAAGAACAAACACTGCAGTCAATAAATGTTATCATTATTGCATTTGTCTGGTATATATGAACACACACACACACACACACATACAATATTAGAGCTATTTACAGAATGCAGCTATTGTTCCATGTGGAAAAATTTAGAAGTCAGATGTCTTGAATATTTGAGGAAAGAAACTGAAGGAAAGTACTTGAAGGCGAACAGCCAATCAAAGAAATGGAGGTGGAGCAAATTGAAGACTAGAGTCTTGGGAAATGATAAACATAAACTTACATTCAATGCCGATCACAAAGGAATGAAATCTCTGATAAATAATGGAGATTTGCATGCACATTACCAGAAGTGGAGATGTATACGGTGTCACAATTTCTCAAGAGATTTCTTTATGTATGCAAAAAATTTAAAGCAAGAAAATGAATAACAAATGAGAAAGGGATTAGAGGCATCTTCTATCACAGCTTTCCCTAGTCCTCATATATATATATATATATATATATATATATATATATATTGTGTATTTTGGCAGAAATCCTTCTTTTATGCAAGTTTCATTAAAAACAACTGAAAGGTACTGTAGTTTTAAAGATTTTTATTTAATTTTTCATGTTTTTATAATTTTTTTTCTCTGGAAGTTAACATGTTAAAAAATTGTTTCAAATATGGCTGTATTTTGCTTGTGTAGATCAATTGCAAGATTTGTAACCATTATTGGAATGATGTATACTCAGAAAGATGCCAAGTTCTGGGAGGATGGAATCATGGAGTTGCCTCGAAGATGACAAAAGGTAGTTGAACAAGGTGGCATATAGATGAATAAATACTTGCACAAATATCTAAATGTTGTCTTTGAAATTTTTTCAAAAATGTAATGAACTTTTCTTCTGACCCAATATTTTGAGACAGTTTCCAAGTAAATAATATGTCCATTATTTAAATTCAAAATAAATTTTCAATATTCAGAATGACTTCTGCCTTCAACACCTTTTATTCCCAATGGAAAATTCTTCTTCTCAGCTTATTATCATATGTCAAATTCTGTGTTACTCATTCTTTCAATTGTTGGAAAATTCTTGTCTTTGTAGGGTCAACTTCTTTTTAGACCATCACCAAACTGCATGATCTTAGGTCATACAAAATAATTTTAAAAAATTCAATTTCAAATTTCAACAGTGTTAAAATCATATTACAGTAAAGTCACTTTTGACATTTTCTGTATTTATTCAGAAATGTCTAACAGCTTTATGCAATGGTTTTTTTTATGATCAATGATTAAAAATGGCTTCAAGCATATAAATTGTCTAGATCTTAAAAAAGACAATCTTTGATTAGATCTTACAGTTAGGCAGCATATTAACAAGAGGGAAATAACTCACTTTTTCTTTGACTTTACTGGTTTCCTTTATTTTGCTGTTAGTTTTTCTTTTACTCATTTATTTACATAAGAGACTTGTGAGATCAGTGCACTTTCAATGCACTTTCTTCCTAGTGGATTTTCTTCTCTTCTAATCAGACTGAAATCTATTAGGTCGAAATTGTCCACAGTCAACTTCATACTCGGCCCATACACAATATCATTGATCATCACAAAGGCAATAATGAAGGAAAACAGAGATCTACTTGGCTAATTTCAAATCTAGTCGGCATTAACAGCTTCAATATAGAGAGAAAAACAAAAAAACTTTCTGGCCATAGCAACTGATAAGGATATTTATTACCACTGCCTCAGAAATTTCAACTCATTTCCATTACACAGAGGCTTGTCTCTCTTTCCAACCTGAAGAAACCTGCTATAAAAATCAAAATGTGTTGTCTGGACAGCTTCCCAACTTATTCTACACACACGCACACACATGCATATATAACTGGTGATTTTCTAATCATAGTTTAGATGTGGCACAAGGCCAAAAGTATGAAAGTAGCCAGTGAGGATTGAAATCACTATTCTGTCATATTCAATAGGATAGCATCTGGTCAGACAAAATATGATACCTTTTGCTCAAACAAAAAATGATCATTTCTGGTCAGACCAAATGTGATGTCATTACATTCAGTCAGTCAGAATTTGGTGGTCAGTTAAAAATAATGTTATATAGTCATACAAAAATGGAAATGGTATGACATCAGGTCACATGAATTGTGATGGTATCTGGCCAGACAAAAATCATGATATCTAGGCAGAAAAAAAGATGATAATATATGGTGAGACGAAATATGATGCTTTCTGGTTAGATATTTGATCTTGACATCTGGTCAGGATGATAGCATCTGGTCAGAACAAAAGCAATTACATCTTATCAGATGAAATATGCCTTCTGGTTGAACAAAAGATCTTGGTATTTGGTCAGCAGGATAGCATCTGGCCAGACCAAAATCATGACTCCTGGTCAGAAAAAGATGATAACATCTGCTCAGATGAAATGTGAGAGCATTTGGTCAAACAAAAGATAATTCCTTCTGGTTAGTCAAAAGATGACAGCACCTTGTCAGATGAAAAATCATGGTGTCTCATCAGACTTATTTAGATAGCATTTTATCAGAAGAAATGGGATGGTATCTGTTCAGACAAAAGATGATTGCATCTGGTCAGACCAGATGTGAAAAGTACTCACTGAGAGCGATAAAATGTATGATCCTATAACAAAAGACAATAAAGCAGAAACTGCCAAAGTTGTTTTGCTTAATAGCACATACAGATAATACAAATCATTACTTGTCACAAAAAAAACCCTGGAACAGCATGCATTTATTGATATCTTTTATTTGATGTCCTTTTAGGAGGTGGGTGGTCATGCCTTTCCACAACTTCCTGTCTTTTGTTGCTTCATATAACTTTTGTACCTTTATCATCCTTCTTTGTCTTTGATTTATTATCCATTCATTTCTTTTATTTTCCATATCTGTTTGAGACATGGGTGATCAAGGCTCTCCACAAATTCCTGTCTTTTGTTACTGCAAGTAAATTTTGATCCTTCACCATCCCATCTATTCACTCAGTCATATAAAGTAGATTTTTCGCTACTTTTCCTCTCTTCTCTTGTCTTTAAATATGTGAGTTTTAAATTCTCCAAGCCATGTTTCCTCATTATCTTCCCAGATATGTGCCTCTTTCTGAGTATACAATCCTTGGCCCAAATTATAGAATTAGAACATTTAGAGAATGTTCACCATGGATTTTTATTTAGCAGATGAAATGTAAAACTAGCCGCATAATATATACCTTAAACAAAACTATATTAAAATATTTATTGAAAGTGTGCACTATATTTTGATGTTTTATTTTCTTTGTTAGTCAGTATCCAAAGAAGTGAAGAAAGTGATTTGCTACGATGTAATCCCTACCCTCCCATATGTCAGTTGATGCTGGGCACTTTTGTCACAAATGAAAAACAGTCTTCAAGTTTGTGGTTCAACCATCGATTATTGTAAATACTACTGACAAATTTTATAAAATCTGACAAGATTTTTTAAGATAAGAATTAGAATAACATTTGATGCATCTGAGTGTATTTATGGCAGAACAAGGTAAAAAAAATAAGGTAATGTTATTTAGAGTATCTGACAGGAAGTTGTGGAGAGCCATGATCGCCCACATTCTGAACAGAAAACACACATAAACAAAAGTATGAATTTATCAGCAGAAAAACATGATATATAAGCCCAGACAAAAATTATGAAATTAGCACACTTGGTGGATGTTTACCTTGTTTTTTTACTTCTTCTTGTATATGCCATATCTCTTTAGGACGTGGCTCTCTACAACTTCCTATTCTTTGTAGCTCTTAATAAGGTTTTTTATTTTTGCCATCCATGTTCTGCCAACTAGATAAACAAGCTTATTAAATAGGTTATTCAGTTTTTCCCTCTGTCCTCCTTGCCTTCAATATGTACTTGTGAGTGCCAAATTCTCCAAGCTCTCTTTCTTCATTATATGTACCAGGAATTTAAACTTTCTAAGTTAGTTAATAGCTGAACATTTTAGCTTCCTAAAATATATGTTAAACAAAACTATATTCTTCTTTTTCCATGTGCCATGTCCCTTCAGGATGTAGGCAATCATGGAGATTTTAATAAGTTTTTTGTTTTGTTATTTTTCCTAAACTGTGTTCTGCAATCCATTTACTCAATCCCACTAAGTATGTTATTCACGGTTTTCCTCTGTTGCTTTTGCCTTCGATCTGTCCTGTGAGTATCAGATTTTCCAAGCCCTCTATGCTCATTATGTGCCCTAGAAATTTCAACTGCCTGCTCCAGATGTTAAGTATAAGTTTCCTTTTTGTTTCCATTTCTTCATCGTTCTTCATATGGTATCCTCAGCATCCCCCCTGTAGAAATATATTTCTGTTGCCACAAGTCTCCTCTTCATCTGTGAGGAAATTGTCCCACATTTACTGTCATAGAGGAGGACTGCGATTACATAATAGTTCAGTATTATTTTCTTTGTTTCTAAAAAAATTTTCCTGTTTCTTTATACTATGTTTAGCTTTTGGAAGGCATCTTTCACTCTCACTTCGCCTTCAGATTTCAGTGTCACACTTTTTGTCCACTGTTAAAACACTTCCCAGATATTTAAATTGTTTTTCTTGTTTGATTTTCGTATCTCCCATTTGTAATTTGTATATTGGGCTGTTCCTTTTGCTAACAACTATACATTTTCTCTTCTTACAATTAATGTTTAGTCCTTTCCTTCACTACCTTCTGTA